CCCGGTCGGATGCAGTTTTACGTCATACCCAGGACGATACCAGTGACTCCCAAACATTGAGCTCGGGGAAATTACCCATTATCATTTCATCGGTGTGAAATTATTTTTTTTATTTACTGAAAGTAATCAAAACAAATTTGTTGAAAGGCAGAACAATTAAATGCACTTCCACTAGATGGCAGAGTGTTCAATTAACCCCAGCATCTCCCGGCAAGTTTTCAGAACTGTCCTTACCATCCATCTTGCCCTGCAGCAGTCGGTACATGAGGCTGGTGAACCACGGCGCCTGCGAGGAACTCCCGAGGGCGGCGAACCACATCTGCCAGTCCAAGCGGGGCTGGTGAGGTGTCACCAAGGGGGGCGGAGTGCTCAGGTTGCCAGGTTTGTACATAAAGTCGATTTCCTGCAAGGGAAGATGGAAAAAAAAACGTGACACAAGAACAGATTTGGGCTACTGTATGTTTGGAATCGATACTGTGTTGCAGATGTGAAATCAGTGAACAGCATTTTGAGCTTGAAAAAAATGCATGGTTGAAGCTTATGTTCAAATCAAGTTGTCAATGTCTATTTGAGTCCTCCTCATATTCACAAAATGAAAGTCAAACATAAATCATATAATTACAGCGAAATAAAATTGCAAATCAAAAATGCCGTCTGCTTCGGTGTTATGTCAGAATTTTAATCATGCGTGGCTGGACGTGAAGTACACTGCCGCCATCTAATGGCAGACATCCTGAAGCTCACTTGAAAATCCAAATTTGGATCACAACAAAAAGCAAAAACCAATTAAAAAAAATTATTTAAAAATAACAAAGCGACAGATCCTAACTCAGAAAGTTCTTTAGTCGGAGCACTTGTAAGTCAAGGTACAACTTAATGGTGTTTTATTTTATATCGAGGAGAATATAGTTGCGTTTTTTTATAATACTACTCTCGGTAGCCATGATGTCATTGCTTACTCAAAACTAGAATGTCCTGGATCAAAATAAGATGGGAGACCTATTACTACCATTATGTTTTCATAAGATGAATGTATTTTGCAGAATTAAGACAAACAAAGCACTTTGTCCATCCATGTTGTGAGGGACACATTTAAGGGCATAATGAGCTAACAGCGGATAACAAGTGAAACTTACGTAAACAGCATTGGAAAATGCCAACCTCCCTATATAGGACACTTTAAACCTCTCACCGTCCAGGTGACGCCGTCGTGACTTCCCTCTATGACGACCTCGGGCCGCCCACCCACGCCAGTCATCCTTCGGAACAACCCATACGAGTTAACCAGCTGGTAGTTATCCACAAGACTGTAGACTTGACGCACGCCGGGCCACAGTTTGGAATTTGAGTCATATTCTATGTAGGTGAAAGGCATCTGCAAAAAGTCAAGGTACAACTTAATGGTGTTTTATTTTATATCGAGGAGAATATAGTTGCGTTTTTTTATAATACTACTCTCGTTAGCCATGATGTCATTGCTTACTCAAAACTAGAATGTCCTGGATCAAAATAAGATGGGAGACCTATTACTACCATTATGTTTTCATAAGATGAATGTATTTTGCAGAATTAAGACAAACAAAGCACTTTGTCCATCCATGTTGTGAGGGACACATTTAAGGGCATAATGAGCTAACAGCGGATAACAAGTGAAACTTACGTAAACAGCATTGGAAAATGCCAACCTCCCTATATAGGACACTTTAAACCTCTCACCGTCCAGGTGACGCCGTCGTGACTTCCCTCTATGACGACCTCGGGCCGCCCACCCACGCCAGTCATCCTTCGGAACAACCCATACGAGTTAACCAGCTGGTAGTTATCCACAAGATTGTAGACTTGACGCACGCCGGGCCACAGTTTGGAATTTGAGTCATATTCTATGTAGGTGAAAGGCATCTGCAAATAAATAAATAAATAAATAAATAACAATAATAATAATGGCAGAAACAATCCTTGCTAGTAGACACATATTCAGTTATTCAAAGTAAGCTAGCAAATCAGGGCGATCCAGCAAAGCAAGCTCCACACTTGGATGACTTTAGTGTGATAGAACGTGTGCGTGTCCCAATACTTTTCATGACACAGTGCCTGCATGTTGGCAGTTAACGCTGACATGAAGTTCAACTCACCAGGCTGATGGTGAACATGGTGGCCGCAGCAGCAGCAAATGCCGTCCATTGGAGAGTAGACCACAACCTCCTCAGAAAACCAGAGACACACGCACACCTGGGAAGAAAAATTGTTTTGCAAGATCACAACAAGTCACAATAAACAGTGACATAAGAACAAACAAGAGGAGTGCTACCTGTACATGGCTCCAAGAATCTCCCAAGTGAGGGAGAGAACACCGATCCACACGCATGGGTATGTGACACTCTTCAGAAAGTGGCTAAAGTGGTGGAAGGTGAATGCTGAAAGAGTTATTTTTAAATAAATAAATAAGAATTTGGTACGAGTACAATAAAAGACCTCCGATAGTCACAGTACCCATTTTGGAAGTGATGGCTCTTGCTGTCGTGTCTACTTTCAGGTCAAAACACACGATTGCACCAAAGATAATCAGAGACAAGACAGTGAGTTCCAAAATGTTACACAGCCAGGACCGCAGTTTGGACTCTGAATGGAGGATAAAATGTATGAAGTAGTATTAGGGTCACACAAAATAACGTCAAAGTCAAAAATTGACAAGAACAAAGTTGCAATTTTAAGCAGTTCGGTGAACTAGTGGTTAGCACGTCTGGCGAACAGACAAGACATCCGGGTTCAAATCTACGTTGTGGAATCCTCAATGAGAGGAGAGGGAGGGGAAGGGATGCATAACAAGAGAGCTGGGTTCAAATCTCTGCTTGCAATAATATTAAGAAAAAAAAGGGGTCATAAATCAGTGGTTCGTAACCTGGGTTCAATCGACCCCCAGGGGTTCGGTGAATCAGTCTCAAGGGTTTGACAGAGCCTCTGCCATGGAGGGTAAGACACAACCGCCTCCAGATGTCAATTAGCTATGACACGCCCGCTTGGCCATCGCTGGCTGCAGATGATCACATGACATTGCTTGTCCAATCAGTGCTGCGAGGAATTTAGTTCACGCAGTTGTCACCGTGTGACTGTCATAATCGTACGTCATAGAATTCTAAAAAAACTATACTTATGCCATGTAATTTTATTTACATTTTTCTGTTTTTAATAAATGTGTTTTTTTTTAATGTCTTGAATTTGTAAAAAATCATAATTTATTTTTCACTAATGAAGGGTTCGGGAAACGTACATATGATCTAACGTACATACATTAAGAACCACTGTCAGAAATTAAAGAATAATGTGAGGGAAAAACGTCTTAATAGTAGAAAATTACCATCAAGAAAAGGTAGGGGGAAAAAAAACAACTGCAGCTTACATTTTATAAGATATACTTTGGGGAAAACCAAAATATTACATTTTGATATTATGAAAATATTTCAACATTGTGAGAAAATGCTAGGAAATCTTAGTAATAAAGCTGTGATATTACTAGCATAAATACTGCATAAAATAGACCTGGGGTGAACTGAGGCCACCTTTTTTTGTAGTATTTTGCAATTCAGTTTGGGCCCTTACAGAATTTAAAAAAAAAAAAAAAAAAAAGTTTCCGAACTTCCGAAAAAATTCCTTGTCCATTAAAACAAACTAGGGGTATGATTTACTGTTCAGGGTTCATGGTCTGTCTCACTTTTGTGTTTGGCGTGTTCTGACGTGCGCAGCCACGAGCGTACGTGGCGGTCGTCCAGCAAGGACAAACAAAGGGCCATGGTCAGAAGGTTGAAGAAGTTGTAGTTGCCCGACAAAACGATCAGCACTTGCAGCAGAATCTGCACGGAAAAATGAAAAAAACGACACAGTATATAAATCATTGAAATGACATGGAAAAATGACTTCAGGCGCGTGTGCTCAAGATAAGACACGTGGCGCAGCTCACCTGCAAGTAGAAAGCGCCGAGTCGCAGTCTGCGCAGAGGACTGAAGAAAAGCAGCGGTACGGCGATCTCGATGACGAAGGCGCCCACCACGCTCAGCTTCTGCCACCACACGGGCAACTGGTGGGCAAACCAAGCCAGCGGGGTGGGAATACACTGGGTTTCGTAGTGGTAGGTCATCGCTGGTTGATACAAATATTTTTAATGTGGTTAATGCGATGTACAATTTTTGGCTGTTCATTTAATGGCACAAACAGCGAAACACGAATTCAAAATGAACACTTGAAAGAGCTGATGTAGGCTATGCTCATCTCCCAGACACTCACACTGAACCAACCCGCCAACCCGACACAAGCTTCTGTCTCTTAATATTGATGTCAATCACTGCAAAGTTTGTCTACACAACATATTATGTCACCTATTTAATCTTTCTTTATTCCTGCCAATGTTTATGATAAAATTGTTTTCACAGTTCGAAAGAGATCTCAGGTATGACTGGCAAGAGGTGACATACCGGTTAAGCCCCACCAAGTAGGACAGCGTGAGGTAAGTTTCACCACTCCAGAGGCAAACATGAGGCGAAAGAGCAGCCACCGGACCAGCCAAAATGTAATGCGGTCATGCTCGTAGACCGCTCGAGAGCCCCTAATGAGTGTCATTGGAGCCACAAGGATGCAGAGGAAGCCCGCCTCCAGAAGAAGGTTGTCCCTGGAGAGAGAGGGGGGGGGGGGGGTAAGTAATATAAAGAGAGAGAGTGCTTCGTCTGGGGTTTACAACAGTGATTCTCAACCATTGTGAGACTCATGAGAAATCAGATGTGCTGCGGGAAAATATCCATTTTAGGGCAGAGCAATTAAGCACCATGAATGCACCATGTTGCTCGTGCAGTAGGCTCAGGGAGGGCAGAATAACCAATGCTATTCCTGACGTGAGTGTGCTATTCCACAGAAAAATACAACACTTCTAATGTATATCGGGTCATGTAAAAGTATAAATCCATCAAAAGAAGTTGTGTGGGATTCTGCCATTTTATGAGCGTTGACCACTCACCATTGGAAATAGAGGAAAACCTGCCCCACCTGCCACAGAAACAAAGTGAGATCGATACCACACACATCATCATCATCATCATCATCTCCAGCAGTGTGTCAACAATACCTGGTACATGGACAAGTACAAGGCCCAGAGCCAGAAGAAGACCACGCTGTCCCGCAGTGCCGACACCAGCGTGGCGGCCAGGCTGAGCGCCGCCCCCACGAGGCACAGCAACTCCATTGCCGACTGCGTGTCAAGGCCCAGGTGGGGGCTCAGCCACAGCAGGGTGGGCGAGGCCAGCAGCTGCTCGCCCAGAGGCTTGCCAGTGAAACGCAGCTGCTTACGAGCAGGGAGGAGACCCTCGTTGCCATAGAGGCCTACAAAAACACCACCAAAAAATGATTTAAGAAAAACACAAAATTCATTTGGTGTGATTTGTCTCACTGTCGTTAGTAAAAATCAAGCTAGTTTGCCTTCACGAAAACATACTGTGAATTTAGCTTAGCAGGCTTGTGTTTGTTTTTCTTTGTTTTCTGTAGCCTGTGCACTTTGTTTAGCTGCTGGTGTATACCATACATTAAATTCAACTGCTGTTCCCAAATTCCCAAACACTTTGAGAGAAATCATGAGGTATGGCGGAGAAATTATCCAAATTTCAGTTAAATGGTCCAACAATAATTTATTTGTTGCAAGTAACGTATCTTTGACCAACTATCTATGCCAGCGTGCCAGTGACGTATAGTGACAGGGAGAACAATTACCTTAAAATCTTGTGAATAACATACACCAGAGCATGATACGGCCCCATCCCTAAATTACCCTTAAAAAGCCTTTTTTTTTTCTCTGTACACGTGTAGAATACCTAGTTTGCTGGTATCCTTTATTATCTGAGTAAATAATCCATGAATGAGACATTGCTTGGTTGGCATCATATGTTTCTCCAAAGCCTGTACAGTATGTACCTTTAAATGCTAGCTTTTGAACATGTGTTTGATGAGCGTTCCTTTCTTTTTGCTACCTGTTGCAGTTTTTTGCAATGTATTGTAGCCATGAAATTCTAAATTAATGATTATTTTGTCAAAAACAATAGAGTTGATCAGTTTGAACATTAAATATCTTGTCGTGGTATATTCAATATGTGGAAATTAGTTGGAAATCACGTGTGCACACTTTGAGCATGATGTCTTTGAGCCACTGGTGAAAAGGACACTTTGAGTTGCTCCTCTTTCGTCTATAACTGCTTCAAACAACAACGTGTATGCAGGAAACGTGGTTAAGGTTGCACGGCTGTCTGTGTCTTATGTGTTGTGTTGTACTATTTTGTCATTTTATGTTAACTGTTCTTTTGATGGCGGCGGGGGCACCGGCAGCGGCTCCTCTTGTTGTCTGGTTGAGAGGGAAGAAATTTCATCTGTGCTGTATGTTGCACATACAGCGCATTTGACAATAACGTACTACTTGATTGTAGAGGCTGTATTCTGTTTTTATGTACGTTTACCACAACGTCCCAACTTCAATTGAATTGATGTGTACATTTGGGGTCCTTAAAATATGAATACTGGCCTTGGCACATTCCCCTCAATCACCACTCATTCGTGTTCAATAACGTATAAGACATGACGAACCCGATTGTATCCGCATATTTCCTACCTCGAACCTACCTGTGTAGTGCACTGGGAATTGTGGGTAATGTAGTTGAAATCGTACTCAGGAATCTATCCGCAGATTATTTTGCGCGTTTCGACGAATGTTCTGTTAGCCTCACTTTTAGAAGGCGGGGAGTATTCCAGAACCCCCACTAGCCACGTACGCCGCTGTGCAGAGTTCTGAACTAACTCAATTAACAAGGTAGCTCGGAAAAGCCGAGTACGTCAGTACGTCAATCTTATCCTCCCCCAGAAAGTTGTCTTACCTGGTATTTGCATGTAGAGAGACACAAATGCAATCAAATACAGGACCGCCATGCACCAGAGGAACATGCGCCGTGGCAAAACGATTTCCCCCATGTTTGGAAGTGAGCTTGAAGATGGGTGGGACGACCCAGCAACCGTGGGACGTTCGAGTAGCCTGCCTTGATAGGAGGCGAAGGAGCCGTCGACAGGCAGCGACGGTTTCCTCTGCTTGGTCAACTTTCTGGACCCACCTTCAACAATAATTTCGTTTATGATGAGTGACTCACTAGCGACATTCACAGGCGCGGAGCGTTCTTTGCTCAAGCGCTTGAGTCCTCGCGAGAAAATGATAAAATGTCGCGAGAGGGCCATAATAATAGTTCAAGTTCAGTCAGGCAACAACCCCAAGAACAACCCCAACCCAATGATTATGATCATTTTATTTGCCGTTTTATCTGTATTACGAATGTTTTTACTTGAGATTAATGCAAATATAGCTTGTATATATTGGATACAATTTTCATCAAAATAGGGGGAAGCGTTCCGTCTCGAAGATTGCATTTAAGACCATCCCGACAAATGCGGCTTTGACGTTAGGAAGTCAACATCCGAATTTTTTTTTACCTATTTGGTTGTTTTATATTCATGACCAACGAATCCCGATCTATTCATCATTCACGGCAATCAGGACTTTAATTCTGCGTTAGCGTTGTCATCCGAATAGGGCCGTTATGACGCGTACACTCGGATTACGTCGAAATGCAAGTGTATCGTATCGTTCTCTTCTTATCTATCTTCTATTCCAATATTTTGACTGAGGTTGCGACTTTTGGAACAGTTCGGCAAAAAAAATGAACCCATTACCGACCAAGATAACCGTTATAATGTGGTTTTGTTTGTTTGGTTTTAATGATCATAGATGCCATCACAGTCACATTTTTGTTTAACTGAGTTTATTGTGCAAGTCTTCGGCAAGCATTTTAAGTTCATGGCGATAAAAATTTGGTGTACATGCGTCTAGCACATTCAAGTTTGGACACAAACACAGGAAATCATGCACAACCTCTTTGTCGCAAAAACAAACAAAAAAATAAAGATTTATAGTACCACTAATTCCAAACATGCATTTATTGCACTTACAAAAAATAAAAACCCCCAAAATTATTAGAAAGCAACATTTAGAGCTTACTATGAAAAAAAAAATATTTCTAGCACTGGACATCATGAACAACAAACAAAAATCAGTAGCAGGATTAGGACTCAGAATAAACATGAAAACATGATTTCTTTGAATATATACAATTTTTAAAGGTTTTTTTTTTTGGCGGTAAAACCATAACTGTATAAATCACAGCAAACAGATTGGATAGGACGGGGCTGTGACCTGATTCTATGACACTCAAGAATTGTGGTAGGTGATGCTTCCTGGGAGCAATACTGTACTGGAACAGGTTTTATAAAGACAGTCCAAAATGGACTTGGCAAATTTGTGCATGCTGATGATTGTTGCTTTCAAACACCTCCTCATAATTGTCAATAATTAAAAACACAAAATGTAATCTGCGCAAATTTGAAATATTATATAGTCCCTTGTATCAATGACTGAAGCCTGTATACATATGTCAAATAATTGAGAAATGTGAGGTTTTTTTTATTTTTTATGATCCAAGGTCTGATGATCGGAGGTCTCTAAAATATTACCCTGAGTGAGTTTTCCAGCTCCACATTATGTCATTTATAATAAGAATAAATAACACCATTTATTTGTTTGACATTTTTATTCTTGATACCTTGGAAATATATTTGATAATTCGGGAGTTTTGAGCACATTCCAGCAAAGGCTTGATGACACTGGTCAACAGCGAATTATAATCAGTTGGCTCTACTGTATGTGTCCCTATATTTATTTTTAAAGCTGATTTAAAAAAATATGTCTACTTTTTCTCTAGCTAATCAGGTTTTTGAGATATTTTCATTTTTGGTTTTTAAGTTTGACCGGACGAGTTGTAATTTATAGCCATGATGACGTTTCAGAAAAAAAAATCCACCTGTTGCTGAACCAAACCCTTAATTCCTAAATATTAAACAGCACGCCCGCGACCCTTGTGAGGATAAGCGGATTCGAAAATGGATGGACAGATGGATATTTCTATATTATATATTGTGTTAATGTTAAATTCTTATTATGTGTGTGAGGGAAAAAAAGAGGCCATCAGCGCAAAAAAGTTTTGTTCCATCTCGAATTAAAAACGTGTTGACCAAAGTAATTCGTTGTCTCGCAAAAGATTATTCTGAACGATTCTCCTGTTGTGCGGGGTACGTTACGTGGTTTTCTTTCTCCCAGATCTGCTCGAAAATGATCAGATATGAAAAATGTTAATATTAAACCTGTGCCATTTTAACAATTGCAAATTCTCTTTGGGCAGTGTGGATGCCCTGTGGCACCATGCTGTCCCTTCCCAGGTCAAACTTGGTACTAATGACACATATCTGGATTGGGTAAGGAGACGAGCGATTGTTGGTCAGATATCATGTGTGGTGTTATCTGGAGTACAACACAAACCATAAGGGCATGAAGAATACAATGAGTTTTTCTCCCCCATCATCGTGTGGAGATTTTAACATTTTAAATCATTTTAGATGTTAAAAATTGTCATTTGTGTACCCCGCTTTAAATGAGTGTGCGGTCATAGCTGGTAAGCAAACCCGAACGATGCTAGCAGGCAAAAAATAGATGCTTCTTCTTTTGCTGTTATTATTAACAATTGTGGTGGAAATACTCATGTGAGAAAAATCCATGTCAGTATTTGTAATTTTCTTTTGTGCGCATGTGTTGCTTCTCAAAAGCGGCATCCGAACTTTGGGATATTTGACAGAGTTAAGGCAACCGAAGCTTGCTCTCATTTGGACGGCTAGACTGTTGCGTTTGAGTGATGGCAGATGTCATGTGGACCCTTCCATTCCACTCGTGCACGCTTGTCCGAGGCTTGTTGCGGATGACGCGGGCTCCTGATCCAATTCCCGCACGCAGATGACGGCATCGCCACTCACATTGATGAGACACTGTGCCTGTGTGACAAACACAAATGGGTGGATTATAACACTGGAACAAGTCCGACGGTACAGCAGTACTTTACCTTCAGACTAATTTGTTCTGTGAGCCAGTTAACTATTTACTCATGTCACATGCCATTAATCTCTAGCAACCATCCACCACCCCCAATTATTATTTTTGGGTCATGTTTTTAATTTTAAAAAAATAGCACAGTATTATATCAAAACATTATTAAAAATATAATGAAATAAACTAGGTTTATGAAGTGTAATCACTGTATGTACTGTAGTATTTGTGTATTGCTCCTGTGCCTTTTAGCCCTCTTGTGTTCATCCGTTTGACTGTTTGTCCCGTTCAATAAACAGTTGAAAGTGCATCAGTAATCAAGGCAGGGCACCACTATATTTCATACAAGAAATCAAGAAATTAAGTCTTTGTGTGTGTGTGTGTGTGTGTGTGTACCTGGTTCTTATTGGGATTTTCCATCAACACACACTCCTTCATGCTGTAAGACACAACGGCATTTCCCCCCAAAGCTGCAACGTGGGCGCGAACCATGGCAAACACCTCTGCAACGAACGAGGGGGGGAAGCCGCTCACGCCGCCTTCCTGTAAAGGTGGAGAACACGCAAGACTAGCTCTGTAGCCACCTTTGTTTTTCGGGGGCGGGAGGACTCAAGTCATTTTGGCCGTACCTCTCTTAAGGACGTGGTCTCTCGAATGAAGAACATGTTGATGATCCCCAAGTATTTTACCACACGTGTACCGGGGAGAAAGGAAAGCGGTGTCATCTTCACCACCGTGACTGAGCTTCCTCCAAACGAGCAGCGGTTGGAGCGCAGCGAGCGGGACCGGCTCTCGGTCAGCGGACTGGAGCGCTCCAGTGATGACACTGACAGTGATGACACTGAATGTTCACAGACCGCAAAAAGCTCATTTGCAAGGGATGTTGCTAAAGGAAGCTCTATTTGTTGCTGACTGTGGTTACTGTTGCGTGATGACAACATTGCATAATTGCGTAGATAAGTGTGTAGATTACATAGTGGCATTTAAAAAAAAAAGATAATCTCTCTAAGCAGATAATAATAAAAAAAAAGTAACTTATTTATCATTACATCTTACTAAGAGCCCTAAGGTACTGTGATTTCAGTTGACAGCAATATATTATGAATAAATTAATCAGACTATGGTGTTCAGACTGGTGGGGCTGCATTGAACATAATGTTTTGAAGCAGGAAATGCGGTTTTCGCCAAACCTAATTTAATTTTGGGATTCATGAAACATGTGATGTCACAAACAAAAAAGTGTGTGGACATGTGACTATTAAAACACATGCAGTCATGTGGATGGTGCGGGTGGTCAGACAATCACTTTCCATGCGTGACAGGCGGACAAGACAGTTTACAGTGTCTGCAGACAGACACGCAGACCTGGGAACAGCTGTGATGTACGTTAACTTGTGTCAGGGAAACGACAAGGTGACAACTCTTTCGGACCTGGCGCCATGGGAAACGAATGTAGACAGCTAGTAGGAACTGAGACAGGCACAAGAATAATGCACAAGCCCGCACGTGAAAGGGCGAATTTAGGTGATATGGCTTGTGTCAATCAAGCAAAAAAAAAAAATTGTGAGCAATTGCTTTTTCACATTAAAATTTTTCTTACCCCCTCGGTGAATGAAATTATCATTCAGAAGCTGCATTTTATATTTCCTTGGGCAGTCTATGTGTGATATTAAAATTGGTTTGATTCACTGAAACCTTTGTGTGTGATAAATATGCAACGAACACAGAAATCAGGAAGGGAGCAAATATACGGTTTCACAGCACTGTACATTGTACAAGCTTGGCGATAATTGGGAAAATTGCAAAGACTGAGAACTATGTAGTACTGTGCAACTGTCTTTCATTCACCATTTCAGTTTTCTTGATTTTTTTTTTTTTTTTGGGCGGGTGTACTAAAAACTGTGCCCAGTGATGAGGCATCACTATTTCAGGAAACAAACATGACAGTGAATTTCACTTGCTATCTGTATTTGCATGTCTCAGAGTGTGCAAGTGTGCCTAAAATTGTGGCCTAAGAGTGCAACGTTCCTTAATATTTTGACAGAGATCAAACGGCGGTAATATCTGGAAAGGAAAACTTTGCATTGGGAAACAAATCACAACTCCTATTTCCCATCATCAAAAAGACAAACTGCTGACTGGATAAATCCCAATGAGGGACAGCGCCTTAAACACTTTTACACTATCCAACAGGAAGCTGAAATTTAATTCCTACTGCTTCACCGCACAGCAGTATGCATGGATGTTTGTATGACATGTGCGAGTGTATGCTTGTGTATGTGTGTGCTTTGTATCTTTGCACGTGACCAGCGGAGTGTGATCGAGACTGTGTCCTCCTACTTGTCTTAACTGATCCTCGTCTTATGGTGTGAGCTTTCAGCCTAAGCAGCTCTAGCCAGGTGCTGCATCTGTCTGCAAAGGAACCGTAATCAACGGAGGTAGCTGGAGAGAACACACACACACACACAAAACCCACAACCACACAAAAGACAACAAAGAAAAAAAAAAAAACAACAAGGAAAAACAAAAAAAAAACAAAAACAAAAAGAAGAACAGAAAAAGAACACAAGTGGATGAGGTCTGGAGCCATGTGGGATATTTCTGTCCGAGACATTAGGATGGTCAGTCAAAAAAATGAGCCTGTGTTGTAGTTTCGGTAGGACGTAGGTCGAGTACGGGGTGGATACATATGAAAGTGCATTGGGGGTGGGGCTTACCTCTGGATGACACAGCACTACTTATTGGGACACCTGTGAGGAGACACAAACATCAAAGTCTTCCTTTGGGTTGAATACGCAAGGAGTGTATGTCCATTCATGTTCCAGGGCTGAATATACACTGCAGGTTATGTTTTAATGTCAATGTCATATTTTCCTCTCTACGCATGTACATTTTAAGGGACAGCAGTCAGTGACAACATAGGAGTAAACAATTATATCATAAAGGTGACATAGTCGCTCGAGTGGGGCGTGGCCTGGACTGACTCTTCATATGAATCAATTGTCCACCATCAAAAATTATTTTGCCTATTCGGTGATCGACAAATCTCGACTATCGGATATTTAGACTTTGTAATGCAGTGTATTTAGACTGTATTTCCAACCGGATTCTAATGTTAAGATATCTGACTCCATGCGTTCTTTTTTTCTTTTTCTTTTTCTCTTTATGAGCCACTGGAGGACAACAACAACAAAAAAAAATCTGAATCGTCTCACTTGAACCGAGCAGTGTAAATCCACCCTGATTGTGCTCAATCTAAAACAGATTTGCATCAGACGACATGACACTATTGTGCACTAGTTTCACAACAGATGAGACCAAACTCTGCAACGTGACATCACTGACCATTTACCTTCCGTCTGCACAATAACCAGCTGATTTTGGCAGAGTTTTGCAGCCGGAGTGAGTAAAGAGACTGTACCTGAGGTGTTAGCGGAGGAAATGGGTGACGAAGCCTGTTAGTGAAACAAGGGCTGCGTGAGGTTAATCTTGAGAAGAAAGCTTGATCCTACCTGAGGTTTTTGATGGCGGCTGCGTGCTGGCGGAAGGGCAGTCGACGCAGAGCTCCAAGGGGAACTGCAGCTGCTCTTCAGTCTCACTGCACCCTGAAACACACACGTACACATTACTTGAACATTCAAGTGTTGATATCACAAAGGGGTGACATGGTTCAGTGATAGAGTGGTTGTTTCTCAACCCAGGGGTTGGCGGTTCGATCCCTGCCCGAGGGACCATGTCCAAGTGTCTTTGAGCAAGAGACTGAACCTCCAGTTGCTCCTGATGTTGCGTCATCAGTAGGTGAGTGCCCGAAGTAGAAAAGCACGATATAAGTGGGACCTACCTTTGGTGATGGGCCTGTCCGCTAGCTTCTCCTGGGTCTGGTCCTTGTCGAACGTCATGGCGACCGCCGTCACGGCAACCTGCCAAGCAGACGGACAACTCAGTGCAAGTGTGAAAAGAGAATTTGCAGGTGTAAATATGCGTCAAGGATATTCACTCACCTGTATGAGTTCTTCTTCCGGCACTGCTACGGTGAAGTTGAGATGACAAATGCAGCAGGGGATCATAGAGCGCAACTTGAAGTACAAACTCTGAAATAAACACAACAAATTGACCATAAGCTTTGCCACTTGTTGTCAAGAAGTAATTTGCTTTTAAAATATTTTGACATTTTACAGCGATTAACTTATTTTTACTCATTAATGAGCATTCATAAAAATTGACCAACAGAACTTTCTTTTTGGTATGTCTTCATTTAAAACCCAGACTGAATTGCTTTTATGTCTCATTTTACACGACAGTTCCAAATGTTTAAGTATCACTTCAAGATTTTCTCATGGCAAAAGTTTGTCCCCAAAAGAGATTTTATTTCATTTACTCTTGTGCCTCGTGAGAAAAATCTAAATGCAAACAAAGCTTCAACGTGCCACTTGTATTTGTCATACACGCACCTTCAGCAGGTTCTCACACAGGTCAGTGAAGATTTTGTTCAAGCCTTGATTGGTGAGATTGGCATTACTCAACCTTAGCACCCTCACTGATGTAAACATCTGGGAAATAGAAATCACAAGTTACAGTTGAACTGTTTCAAATTTTTTTCATCTTGTGTGTGTACCGCACCAAAGCAGGATACACCGATTGTATTTGGCAATTCATGCTGTGCAACTACACATGGTGGATGGAGCATTGCGCCGAGAGACCTGTATTCCCGAAGTCCAGTTGTAAATCCCAGGCATGACCTCAGTGTTGCAGCTGTGGAAACCTAAAGAAAAAAAAAATGACGTGAGCAGGGGATTAAGGATCAAAAGGTGCATTCTAATGATGACTCGGGTCACATACCCGTGGGAGGCGGGGCATCCGTGAGTAGGGAGTGAATATCTTCCACGGCATCGGTGTCATCAATCTATAGAAGGGGTGGAAAAATTTAAGTGATCAGGGATCATATTTGACTTTTTTGTTTCTTTGTTTTGGTTTCAGATGGTCCAAGTTATTCATAGCTAAGTTTGCAATGTTTAATTGCCATGTTTTTATTTGCTCATTTGTAAATTGTTTAATTAAAATACATTTAAAAAAATTAATAAATTAATGAGAGCATTTAAATGGATTGTTTACTTTAATATTTTAATTTCAGGATTTATAATAACAATTTTAAAATTAAATTAACACAAAATAAATAAATGCATTTCTGTGCTATATTAGAGGATGCTTGATTTTAAAAAAAACTATTAAAAGCTCATTTTTTGTTGGAAATCTAAAAATCAAGAGTTCTGTAAAAATTGGTATTTTTAATAAAAAAAAATAAAACACTCTTGATTCCCCCCACCCATTTTTTTTCAAATAAATCAAAAGTCCTGTAATATTTGTATCATTAAATTTGCTCTTTTTACTAAAAAAAAAATGGGTCATGAAAATATGTGCGCTAATGGGTCTCAGGCCATACTTTGTTCACCCGTGATCAGCAGCAATATACAAATATAACTTAGTCAAGCCCTTAACACCAATCACCTCAC